CGCAGGCGCTGAGTTGGTTCTTGGTATGGACGGAGCATTGGATGTTTGTATATTATGTCCATTGTTTGACGTCGCCGAGTTGTAAGAGGCTTTCCCTTTTGGGCGACGACCTCTACCCCTGGTGTTAAAGAGCGCCATGGTCGGATCTTGATTGGACGAGAACCTTACTGCATCTGCGGCTAAGTTTATTTCTTCGCTCAGCAGTAACGGATATATTTGATCCAGAGTGAGAGGCGCAGCGGACGTTCGTATGGAAGATTTGAACGACTGATACATCGGCGGCAAGCCATTGAGGATATGATGAATAATGTCCTCTTGATCCACTGAGGAGCCTGCCGCAGCAATCTGATCGACTATGGCTTTTATCTCAGACAAATAAACAGTCATAGAGTTGTTCTTTAAAGAAACATTGTGAAGCGAATTGTGCAGCTGAATGACCTTTGATCTATTCGTTGCTTGAAATCTTGTTTCGAGCGCCGACCAGACTTCCGCCGTTGATTCGAGAGAAATGACATACGGAAGAATCGAGTCGGATATGGTGGAACAGATGGAAGCCGAAAGATTCTGATCCGTCTGTATCCATTGTGCGTACGCCGGATTGATCGCCGACGTGCCATCTTGGTTTTGCACAAACTGAGACGGCGGCAAGGATTTTGAGTCAAGAAATTGCAGAAATCCGTTTGCCCTCAGAGTCTTCAAGATCTGAGACTTCCAAATGAGAAAGTTATCAGGAGTTAAAGAGGAAGAAACCAGATTGCGGAGATTTGAAACGACGAATTTGAGATTCGCCGAGACCGTCGCCTCATTGGATACGATGTTATCGCTCCTATCTTGAAGGCGGGAAGACGCTGAATCCGTCATGGCTGAGGATCGAAGCCTAATCTGATACCATGAAGAAGTATAGGAGAAGAACAGAGAAACAGAGAGAGTCTTATTGATTTCTTTCAGTTACCTTACATACATTAGAGGAGCTGTATATATAGACATATTATTACAGATGAGCTTAATTACAATTGTACCTATTGAATATTCTAGATAACGTATAGTCCTAATAGTTCCAGCTGTTTAAGGGGACGATCCAATGGACAGGTTCTAATGTCAATGAACTTGTTGGGTAAGTCCAGCACACTGAAAGGTTGGCATCCAAAACATAGGTTTATTTTATCTCAAAAGTTATTAGGAAAATAGAAAATAAATTTATCCCTGTCAAAGACCGGTACAATAGCTGCAACAGCACAATACTTTAATCCCTTGGAAATATCAGAGAAAAGTATAACCGACCAAAATTGTACACTCAAAACTTAAAATTTACCTCCATGGCACCCATAACTTAAACGGTTAAACAATAAGAAAATATCATTGAATACTCATAATTGTTTGGTTAATCAAGTCATTATGAGAATCCAAATTGGGCTCAAGAAGCCGCTATTCGAGAACTGACTTAAACCACCTACAACTTGGAATTCTCTAAATTTGAAGTCGTCTAAGGCCTCAATTTGCCCAAAATTGAATCTCTAACTTGGCCCTCCGCGCTAAGCTATTAAACATTGGACGGTAGCCCAAAAGAACTTATTAACTTACCTAAAGTATTTGCAAGGCAATTGGTTTCTCAGTAGAAGAACTCATCAAAGGTATTCATCATCAATTTAGGAATGATTACCCAAAGTTGTTGACTAGCAGTCAAGTATAAGTCGATTGCTATGAAACAAACTACCTATGTTTAATTTATATCTTCTGTATGTATTGCACTATATAACCAATTCCATAACGTCAACTTTAATCCTCAGTAACCACCCATAAAGACGTGATGACTCGTTAAGAATGGGCATATGAAATATAGAAAAACCTTTCTAGAATTCTCTATATAATCTCCTTCCTATATTATTTTTCTGTAGCTCGGCTCAACTTGCCCTTCTCAATTCAAAAATTGGGTTAATTGTAAACCGATTCTCCAAAATATTCATTGACACATTATCTCTATATCATTTCTGCTCTTTCGGCTTGATATATATTTTTTAGTGAAGTCGTGATATATTTTAAAGGATAACTTAGGTCCAACATCCACTTGGGTCTGGTGAAACATATAGAATGCTAGGAAACAAAAAATAAATGACCTTGAATGCCTTGACAGATTCTTATACAACGAGCAACCAAATAATTATGTCACCTCTTAATAGCTACAATATATAGAGAATCATTAGTTGCAATATATATAGGATCATTTGAGATGAATGATCCAAGGGATATTCAATTGCCTTCCACAAGCTAGTCGTCTTCCACATTCCTCTCAAGATTAAGAATATGTTTTTTATCCTAGGTATTGATGCTGGCTAACTACAAGAGTTGTTGCTCCAACTTTATCTCAAGATAATGAGCCATATCAAAACAATGAAAATTGATTCGCCATTGGAGAGGTGCCAATAGGCCTGTGAGGGAGAGTAATTCGTGCCCAAGGAGAGAGTAAGATAGTGAGGCTGTGATACTTCTTGGCTTGGGGAAAGAATGGGAGAAGATATCGATCATCGGTTCATGAAGGTAAAGCTGGTGGGCCTCAAGAGAATTGGTTGTGATTGGCATCACTGTAGAAGAGAGGCAAGAGGAGAAGAGGGTCTATAAGATGCCAAATTTACTTAGTTTGGCTTTATAGCCTCCGTGTGCAGCATAAGGGGGAGAAGTTCATTTTGAAAGAGAAAATGTATGAAGTATAAGGAAAGTCCAACTCACCTTGTTGGGCAAAGTCATCTGGATGAATGACAAAGTAAAATGAGGAGAGGAAAGTAGGACTCCTTCCATAAATGAGTTTTATCTCAACGACATGGAGAAGAAGGTTAAGGTCCTTACATATTCCAAGGCAAGGACCTTCCATTAGGAAAAGTTTGGCTTATAATTGATTGTCCCAAAAAGTCATTGTAACCACCTGAGAGTGATGTGGGAACAACGAACAACATGTACTATCCAAGTAAGGCTATGAACAGTTTATTCTAGAGGTGCAAATTATGAACATAGGACATGTGGAGCTTTCAGATCGACTATGTGATATGATTGGACCATTAATAGGCAAGGTGGTATCAAAGGCCTGATGGTGATGTCCTAGGTAAGTCGGCCCTAAGACAACAAACATGAGGCTATCATGTGGGGCAATCAACAAAAGAGCTCATTATCATATGAACATTAGATACCAACTAGTACTGAAGCCAATTGAAAGGGAGCTTAAGGGGCTTGTCAGCCACAGACCATATGAGTGTTATTGGAGATGCGATCGGAAGGAGAAACGTTATTGACGATGCATGTTGGAACACTACATGAAAATCACTCATTTTCAGTAGACTTTCTGTCGAAATCACTGAATTTACAACGTTAATAATGGTTTTCGGCATTATTAATCCGTCAGTAAATCACATGTCTGAAAATAATTATCGAAGAAAAAAATCAGCAAAAAAAATTTCTGACAACTTTCCAGGGGCAACTTTTGCCTGAAATTTTCCAGTTGAAACTGCAGCAAGAAAATTAAAAAAAAAAAAAAATTGAAGTATGTTGGAGTCAAACTGAGGGATTCAATCAGCAAAAGAAAAGTTATGTTGGAGTCAACTGCATGTCGTCAAAAGGAGATACTAACTGCATGTCATCAAAGGGAGATGCTAACATGAGTTGCCAAGTAAGAAAAATACTAGTCAAAGTAGTTGATTGGTCCTAAGTAGATTTAGTCAGTCAAGGAAATGTAGAAGTACGTTCTAAAATGATTGGAGGGAACTAAGGGTTTAGGTTTTCGACTATAGAGGTAACATGCAATAACTTGAGACAACAACTAAAAGTTATGATTTTAGGTAGAAGGTCTTCAAATTCAAGCAGATGATCAAGCTGACAAGGATAACCTAGGTGATAGCTTATGGGGGTATGATCTTAATAGTTGTCCAACCCATGCATGACTTTGATTAGATGGAAAAAAATAGGCATTACACTTCTAAAATGTGAATGAAATAAATTGGTCTGACAATGGAGAGAGAAAACATGAGAGATGTGTAAAAGGAAAGGGTGGGATGGCTCATTTCTTAATATGAGTTCAGTCTCAACAGCATGAAAAAGAAGGCAAAGGTTCCTAAGCATTTATGGGTGAGAAGCTTATATAAGGAGAATGTCGGCCTCTGATTGACAATCATGGGAGAGGAGCTTATATAGCGAGAAGGTCAACCTTTTATTGACTATTCCAAAGAGCCATTGTAACCGCCTTAAAATGGCATATGGACCACCTATGTTAAAGAGGGGAATGGACTACTTGTGCTAGCAACATGGGGGATATGAGCCACCTATTATAGCAATATGCAGCTGTGTATAAAGACCACGTAGAGCATCCCGATGACAACGAATGGACATGATATGCCTAGAAAATTAATAGGCAGTGTAGTGTCAAAGGTTTATGGAGGCATTTTAAATCAGCTGATGAGTTGGCCAACACGAGACTTTCAAGGATTCCTATCGACTAAGGAGTCGACGATCATATGAGCATTGGATAGCAACTAACCCTAGAGTTAATTTGATCGGGTTTGCAGCCTGCAAGGTGCCGTCAAATATAGAGCCAAGGGATGCTATTCAAGAGACCGACCATAAGGTTAGATATTAGAGACGGCAGTCTAACGATGGGCATTGTGGGGGCTAGATAGCACAACATTAGAATTGGGCTCTAGCATTAGTGAGAGTGGAGGGAAGCGAGAGAGACAGAGGTAAAGGAAGCTTGTTGGGGAGTTGAATACTATAAATCACTCAGAAATTAGTAAATCTTCCTAAATCACTTAAAATAGGATTTAAGATGAATAAAGATTTAAATGCATAAAGAAAAAATTGTTTAGAAAAATTTAAGCCTCTACCAAACAGTCCCTAAAACTGAAAGTCCAATGATTTAATCTTTCTCTTTGATCAGATGCTAATGATAAAGATTCCTACAAGTATTTTAATTTTTTTTATCAATAAGTTTAGCATGTTTTTGACACATATTTAAGAGGCAATATTACATAAAAGAGAGGCCTTGATATATGAAAAAAAAAATGGAGATATGATATAAATCTTAAAAATGTATTGAAAATATGTTTACTGCGAAAACAAAAGGCATTTCTCAAAAACGTGCTTTGAGGATTTCCATTTATATGATTCACAATGAATTTTGAATTATCTTCCATTATATGATTCACATTTTACATGAATCATGTTCTTAATCTATTCCCAGAAGAAAAAAAATTACAAAAAATATATTTTACTTGTTCTCCCCTTACTTTACAACTAGCTAAATTATTGTGAACTAGTTACAAGCAAGAAATAAACATGTCAACAATGGTAAGAGTGAAGAACGAAATGGCAATAGAAAAAATACATATACAAATAAAACTAGCAACAAGGAGAACAACAGACAAAAAAAGGGAAAAAAAGAGCCATATTAATTCTTACTTTGAAGGCAGAAGTGGGAATAGTGGAGCTCGAACGAAGCCGTGCTATCACGATCTAGCTGCGGACTCCGGCCCTCGCGACAGTATTTCTTAACGATAACTTCAATTACCTCCTCCACGCTGGCCCCAAGCCGTACCATCGCATTCACCGGCCCTGGGCTCCGCTCTACGGCCACGCTCACCACAACCTTCGCCTCCTGCGCCCCCAAGTCAACAACCAAAACCGCTCAATCAATATGTCACTCTCGATCCTGCGACAAATTATTCACAAAACCCTACAATCTACTGGATCGGATCTATTAGCTGACCTCAATGGAGTCGCGAGTCGTGTCCAATGTTGATCCGGGGCACAGAAACGGGGAGAAGACATCCGTGCAGGTGTGGTAGCGAGGGAACATGGGGTTTTCGTTTATCCCAAGCGGTTCTTCATGCATGCTTGTACCCACTTGTACATTTTTTCCTTCTTCATTGCCAGGGATGAACATCTGTACGGTCCGCAGGATCGGCTCGGAGGCCGAACGGGATAGAATCCGGATACGAGGCTTTCGGCGCTTTGGCTTTTGAAGGGAAACTCGGGTTCGACGATGAGGCGAGGGGGTTGGATTTGGTGGGCGGTGAATATCGCCGGAGGAGTAGACCGTCGAACGGAGGAGTCTGGGGATCTTGTCCGTCATAGTAGTCAGTAAAAACTAAAGCAAGAGTGAGAAAAACGAAGAAAGGAGAGGTGGAGAGGTGGCGGAGATCAGGAAATGTCAAGGAGCGGTTGAGGAAGGTGGAAATTGAATGCGCGAGGGATGAGCGTTGCCTTACGCAAAGTGCGCAAACTGTTTGTAGTTCTTAAAAATCTGCCGACCGTTCTATTGAAATTACCACACCGCCCTCGTTTCATACAGTGAAATTTGAATTTATATGAAATTAAAAAAATATATCTCTGATATTTATTTTTTAACAAATGATAATTGAAAATTAATTTCATATTAAAATACTAATGATATTTTATCTAACATTATATATATTGACCTAAATATGGCAAAAAAAAAGATTGGTTCAATAATACAGAGCATACCACCACTACTCTGATATAACAGCAGTCACTACACACAGCCAAATCTCAACCCTTACATCATAATAGAGCCAACCAACTTACCCATCCACCCAATGGTTACATGCTCCAAAATTGGCTCTTTAAAACCCCTCGTCATTCTCAATATGATCCACTGGAACTCTAAGCCAATCACCCCAAACGACCCTACACTATACTCCGAAACTATCAAATACATCTCTCGGTGAAACGCCATGGCAGCAGAATTTCATGCACTTCCAACAACAAGGTACTTAGTTTTTAGTACCTCCTCTCACCAAAACTTTCATTCTCGATTGCTGATGGACATACAAAATAAAGTATCATTCAGACGATTTCATTGCCCGCTACAAGGCTAGATTGGTCGTTCAAGGTCATCGGCAGGAACATGTCCTACTATATGTGTCATGCTTGTCTTTGCTCTCAATCGAAATTGGCCCATTCAACAGCTCGATGCAGCAAATGTTTTCCTTCATGGTAATCTCACAGAAAATCATATACATGGCTTAACCAAGGCTTTAAAGACTCCCTAAATCCCAACTATGTATGTCTACTCTGCATAGTCATATATGGCCTCGAACATGCTCCTTGCCAAGTTCACTGCCTTCACAACCCACCACCAATCACTTAGTTTTCATCACAGCAAATCAGACCATTCCATGCTGATCTTCTGGCAAAACCACATCCAAATATACCTTCATATCTACGTAGACAACATTCTCTTGATTAGCAACAACTTCTCAACCATCTCAACTCTCAAATAGCAGCTTAGCAAAAGATTTACCATGAAACACTTAGGCCAAGCTCACAATTTCCTTGGCATTTAGATCAACCAGCACTCCAACTCCAATTATCTCTCACAAACGACATATGCCAACTCCATTCTCAACCAAGCAGCCCTCATAAACTACAATTTTCTTGCCAAGTCCACATATACCAAAGCAGGCCCCATTCCCCCTATTGATCCTTTGCTATTTGATCCACGCATCTACAAGAAGCTCACAAAATTGCTACAATACTTGACAATCATCCGTCCTGAGATTGCTTATGAAGTCAACGTCCTATGTTAATATATGCACCATCCTCTTCCCTACCACTCATATTTACTCAAGTGACTTCTTCGATACATCAAAGGCACAATTAATTATGGTTTACCAATTTTCACAGGTCCATTACTCCTTGCCTCCTTCTCAAACGTCAACTGGGCCAACGATACAACCACTCGCAGATCAACCTCAGGGTACTGCTCGTTCCTCGGCAATACACTAATATCATGGAGCATCAAGAAACAACATATCATGGCTAGGTCATCCATATAATCAGAATATATGGCACTAGCATATTCTACTGCCAACATTCTCTGGCTTCCAAGGCTCTTAATAGGACTTTCAAATTCTAGTTGATCATCCCATTCCTCTCCACTGCGACAACACATTAGCAATTACTGTAGCCAACAACCCAGTCTTCCACCCAAAGACCAAATATATTGATATTGATCATCATTTTATTCGTGACCACATTCACCCCAACACGATTCGAATACTTCTAATCAGCACTATAGTTCAGATAGCCTACATTATCACCAAACCACTATCCACTCAGCATTTTCAACTTATTCGATCCAAAATGACTATCTTACAAACACCATCAATTTATATGGGGGTAAAAGAGCATACCACCACTACTCTGACACAACAACAACCACTACACAACTAGCCAAATCTTAACTCTTACATCATAACAAACCAACACATCTTACCCATGCATGTGTAAAGCAAATCCCAAGCCTTTAGCTTATATGTACTATGTAATGTTTAATGCAAAGCTCAAGCAAACAATTATACTGAAAATCACATCATATGATTTACTTTTCTATGTCATTCCTTTTACTCATGTAGTGCATGTACCTCAGCTTCTTCAAATAAAATTTGACTTTGTTTTCAACAATAATTTCACCGAATATTAAAAAAATATTATCGAAACATGTTAGAGTCATTAATGAATGAAATAAATTTTGAACTTTATCATCATGATCTCTATTGAGTGAGGAAATTTTGTTTTGCTATGATCTCTATTGAGTGAAAATTTTCGAACGAAAGTATAACCATGGTAGCAAAAGAGAGAGCTAAAATAGAGAAAACTGAATATTAATCTTCTTACAAAATTGGATATAAGAAAAACCAAGTATTCTTAATTAAAAATGAATGTTTCAGATGTATTTCCTATAAAAATAAAACACTGGTAATTTTTTTTCTGCTACTATAAGGCAAACTTTTCCTTTACACACACCATTAAATGTTTATATATTTATATATCTAATAATATAGTTTTATATCTATTTTTTATAATTCTCTGGTTATCTAAATTATACCAAAATTGCATCATCTTATTCAGTTGTCAAGGCCTACTTCTTGAAAGAATGTCTCCTCCCAATCTCTCTCTCTCTCTCTCTCTCTCTCTCTCTCTCTCTCTCTCTCTCTCAAGATGGGCATTGTTGTTGGATTCAAGACCTTAAAGAAACTCTTTTCTTAATGGATACTTGCCACCATAGCAAGTTATAAACTCTTTAAGCTGATAGCCCAACTCATATTCATTGGCTCTCATAGTGAACCATTCAAGTTGTCTAAAATTCCAATTCAACAATGCTTTTTCTTGGCTCCTCCAATCCAAGTCATCACAACACAAGCTATAAACTTTGTTGTCACTTCATTATCCTAATTAGAAAAGTTGTCACCATGTGATATAACACTGTTGACTTTTAGGAGAGGGGATTTATGTATCCCATACTAGATTATTTGCCACTTCCCGTACAATGACATCCCACATTTTGATGTGTGGTATATAATTTATTTGTGGTTCCACTAGCTTCCACTCACCAACATATAAACTTCATATAACACGTCAATTCATCAGCACATCACCTCTCATGTGTAATCACATGCCCCAAAGTATGCACTTGTGCACCTCGTACTCCAAATCATACACCTAGTAACCATACTCGTATGTGTTAGTCTACAAGCTCTAAAATATTATCAACTCAAGAAATATCAATCCCCATACTGATATGTTGACCATAGGATGATGACTCAATATTTTTTTGGGTGACATTATTATGTCAACAAGGCCAACATAGTCACATTAAAGAGCCAACAAATTTGTTGTAACTTGATCACTCTATTACAACCCCAAATAAAATATACAACTTGGGTAATAATTTTAAGTCCAAGTAATGTATCCCATCATAAGTAATAATATGAGTGCTTAAAATATTTGTTGGGCAAAATCCCTTTTGACAGTAGGATATAACACAAAGAGATAAAATAACTTAATTTATTTAATTGTATTGAATCCAAATTTGTTCATGGATGAGAACCCAGCTTCAATACCATGTCAACTCGGTGAGCTGGAACATATATATATATATATATATATAAGAATGGAGAGTGCAAAGAGATAGTGAAGAAAAAAAGTAACAAATATTAAACTTACAAAATGTCCACTATTAGTGAAGGAAGATTTTCAATGTCTCACAATTGTTCCTTATTACTCCTTATTTGCAAGGTTTTTCAGGCTATATGGATAAAAAGGTAAAAATTACAAGATACACATAATACGTGTACAATACTACACGCTAATCTAAACACATATCACCTACTGATGGGTTGAAGGAGGATGATGGTGATGGGCCCTTGGGCAAGTTTCCTCTAGGTGATCTCATGGTATTAATTAAGCTTTGAATGAGTATGTGAGTGAACTCTGACTCGAGGTCAGGTGTGGTCGACGACTTCAGCATGAGATATTGGGTAACATTGAGGAGAAAGGTGAGTGAGACGTGGCAGGAATGTAGAGCTTTAGGTCATGCAATAGTAGATTAATGATATGAAAAGTTTTTGAATAGCACTTCCTTGTAGCTGAGTTGGGAAAGCCTGAATGTTTTGTGAGGAGATATAGCGATGGAGGAAATGATAAGTGGTGGTTTGACAAGGAATCATGAATTCGTCCCATGCAAAGCAAGTTCCTCAGTAGGTTCGGGCAAGCATAACCTATTGATGTCCATGAGCAAGTCTCTCTGATGATTGCATGTGAGTTCTTTAAAAGAATCTCTCTGGAGGGCGAGTATCATCATCATGACTCAATATCTACATGTTAAACTCCTATGAAGACGTTCATGAATATACAAAATACCTTTTTTCTTCTTATGCATCTTGCAAGTCTTCTTAATGATTGATAGAATTAACTAAAGATTTATTAGTTCCAAATATAAATTACTTATGTTCAAGTACATGTGATTCTATATTTTTTTAGGCATTCTTTTTTATCAGGCATTAAAAACTTTTGATATATAAATAAGCAAAATTAATTTTGAATTCCTTAGCCTTTGGGCCTCCTTTTAACTAAAAAAAAATATAAAAAAACGATCTTGCTCTATTTATGATTTGCTAAGAAAAGATATTATGACAATTAGTAGTGCAAGTCCAAGTCATAAAGTTTGGACTTAATCGGTAAAACTTAACCAATGTATATTCATGCTAGATAAACACTAATGTTTTTATGTAGTATATGATTGCCTCTCATATGTATATATATGTTGTCTTGCCTAAAAGGATGTCTTGGGTCTGACCAAAGCAATGGGCTTGATGGAGACCCTTTAAAGGATAATGCTTAATACCTCAACAATCATAAAGTGATCGCCAGAAGCCTTGATAAGCTATTCTTCAACCAAATCAGGTTAAGCTTGGATGGCTAGTGCTAGAAGGGAGGAGCATGTCACTATTCATAGCCACCCTAGGACCCTCACAAAGACAACTGTTTGATTTGACATTAGGAAGTTGATCAATTAATTACAATTGTTGAAGGATATGATATATTGGTTTTGAGATTAAGGATGAAATTATGTACCATACGATGGATTTCTACTTAAGGCATTATCATCTGAAGTCTAGTCTATTGCCGACCAGCTAGTGGGCTCTCCCATGTGGTCAATAGGGATGTGGATCATAAACTAATGGGAGCAATAAGGTAAGCTGGTCACCTTCGATCTTTGGTGCTATTTGATGACATCATGGTGTTTATGTTGTAAGACCCATTGAATGATAATAAGGCTTTAAAAGATTTCTTGAGTCTCAACCAAGCAATGGGCTTGATAAAGACCCTACAGGGGATAATTTCCAATACCTCAATAATCATAAAGTGATTACCAGGTGCCCTGATAAGCTATTTTTCAACCAAATCAAGTTAAGCTTGGGTAGTTAGCCCCAATTGAGGTTTGAGATGAAGGATAAAATCTTGTACCCTAAGATTGAGTTCTACTCAAGGCTTTAATATTTGAACTCCAATCTATGGCCAACCAACCTAGGGGACTATCACATGCGGTCAACAGAGGTGTGGAGCTTAAATTTATGTGAACTGCAAGGAAAGGCCACCTTTTATATTCCCTCAGCATATTTTATTTTCATAGTCAAGAGACCTCTTTTTCACATAACATTATTTTCATTTATATTCCATTAATTTTTAGCATATTGGATCTCCCTGGTGATCCATATTTATTTGATATTCTAGTGTGATTCTAAATGCATCCTCTTTGTAATTCACACTCTAATGTAATTTTATGTTGATACAATGTCATCAAATATTATACAATACAAGTCTTATTATATCTTATTGTCCCTACTTAATGAGCATCTAAGTCAATTATTTTCTTCATTTGTCATAAATTGTAAGGCCCCTCTATCCTTTTTTATTATTCTTGTGAATAACTTACCTCTTACCATGACTTTTTGAGCCTTTTATAGGAGAAATATTCTTTCATATCTCAATTATATGGTTTCTCGATCATGCAATGTGATTACACGTCTCCCCATGTAGAACCCTACTATGTTTCTTACAAGAATATTATAACATCCAACAACATAACCTTAGGGACTCAATGATCATTCATTTTGATGATATTTTAATTATTTGGTATGAATCATCCCCTCAGAAGATCATAACCTCCATCACCTTATGATGGATGAATCTTATCCCTTTTATTGAATCATAAGAACCCAAGCTAACAAATCTTAATCAATTGTTACAAGTATCACATAAGAAATTTTTAGTTTAGCCTATGAGATACCTCAATCCCAAAAATTAAATAAGACTTGCTTGATCTCTCATACCATTTAGAGAAAATTTATGTGATACATTTTATCTTCCATTAACTCTCACACTAAGCTTATTTTTCATCATCTAGAATGTTGCATTTTTTATCTTACTGTGAGTTTTTTTAGAAACCCATAACCCCTTGAGCAAAATTAAGAAATAAAAAATCAACAGATGCGAATGATGACAAAAGCTTTGGGAAGTCCTAATAGAAGAAGATAGAGTGATATAATTGAAGAATTGGATTTCAAGAAACCCTTAAAATTTATGAAGGATAAGGGTTGATTTAAAATCGTGATTAGGAATTGAGTAAGATTTAAGATAAATATTACAAAATAGTTTTTTTCCTTGAGCCATTAAACTTCATTTCCTATCATTTTCTAAGTTCAAAAGAATTTATTTAAGTTTTACCCTAAGAATATTTAACGGATTTAAAGTCTCTAATTTTAGAAATTATTTGTATTTGAATATTTAAATTTGATAAAAAATTCAAACAATTTATCACGAAATTATCCTATTATATAATTTTCAAATTTTAATTGTACACAAAACACCCTTCATAATTTTGGTTTTTTTTTTTTTTTGTTCAGCTATAGTTACTTTTTTGAGTTCTATTCTCTCTCCGAGTCAATGGAGTTTCGTCGCTCTCACATTGTCTCTCTTGTCCCCAACCCTGCAACATCCTCCTTTAGCGTCTCCGCCAATTTATCATGCTACCATAATCGACTCCGTGAGCACTTTCACAATCGACGTCATAGAACTACCCTACCCTGTCAATCAAGACGAGCTTAAAAGTCTTATTTTCCCCCAATTTATTTTTTTCCGCCTACTATAAGTCATCTTCCCCTTTAACGCCCGCCTCACCTTTCTTTTCCCTCACTTCTTCTCCTATGACCTTTCTCTCATTCAAGTAATATTATCACTATCCCACTTCACTTCTTGTTACAATTAATGCACTTATTCCTTAGCCTTTGATGTCCTCCATCATTCAAGGCATGTTTGACAACAAGTAGGATTTATTTTTATATATAAATCCTGTAAATTTGGATTTAATAAATTCTAGAGCTATGAAATCCTGAAAACTATTTAGCAAGAACGGTCATAAATCCTGTGAAACTATTTGACAATGTAATTAATGATTTAAGGTGGTTAGTTCATTTAAAAATTATTTTGATTGTATTTAGAATTTAATTTACATGTTTAATACGAGTTACTTATTAATTTCAATTTTAATTACCATCAATAAGTTATAATCATAAATAATATAATTAGAAGATAGCTTAATTATCAAATAATTTAATTACTAATTATAGTACTAATTATCAAATGACTTAAATACTCCTACTAATAATTTAATTAGTTATTTAAGTGCTATTTAATTAGATTTAATTATTAATTACACTACTAAGTATCTTATTAATTACTTAAGTATTTTATAACTCGTTAATTATTTAATTATTATGTACACTATTAATTATATAATTAATTATTAATTATCTATTTCAAATTATATTAATTAAGCTAATTATATATTAATTAAAGTTTTGGGTGTTAATTTATTCCTGAAGCTCACTCCTGCCGATTTCAAGGATTTCTAGGCCTCTTCTTCAGTAGATCGACTTCGCCTCCGACTCGCGTGTGAGGTAAGAGTTTTGAACGAGCCGCAAAAAACTTCTTTGCCTCCTTCGACGACGTATCTTCCTGTCCGATAGGAACTCACAACAGATCGCTGTTCTTCTGTTGGATCGGAAGTAACGACGACGACGGAGGGAGCTCGCCGTTTCGAAGGTAACCATTATCTCCCTTTCGCGCGCTTCTTCGGCCAAATCCCGTAAATCTGTCCAACTCCCGTATTTAGTTAAACCGGGATTTACCGCAAAAAAGGTGGTAACGGCGGATTTATTCCGCCGTGAAATTTAAGCCGAGTCGAAATCCTGTTTGGCTGGATTTACGCTAAATCCTGCGTTAATCCTGTTGCCAAACAGCCCCCAATCTAAAATTGTGTTTCCTTGCATCATATCGAAGAAAAAACTCATCTTTTTGCTGCTTTCTTTCTATGAGATAGAAGCTCCTAACCATATGTTTGCACCAAGTCCAACCTGTTGGAAGACTTTTAAAATGACCTATTTGTTATTTGCTATAATATTTAGCTGCATTGATTAGGAACCTCTTGCTTATTATCTTTCTTTGGTTAATGCAAACTGAATTTCATGCAGGTCTGTCTCGGCATCAACCTTTTTCCCTATCCGGGTTCTGGAGTTCTTAGAAATGGGGACGTCTTCATTTTTTGACAGGATGCTATCCCATCTTCGAGAAACTAGCAGGTTGCAACACTGTATATTTCTCTGTTAATTTAGGGTTTGGGGAGTTGCTCTTACATAGTCTTGTGTAACCTGATTGGATTACATAGGAATTATTTTTCCATCATTTATACTCTCTGCTCCTTTGATGTTTGTATGTCCTTTGAACAGTCCACGCTCCTGGCATAATTTTAGGCATGCCTATACACCAATTTTATTATTAGTATTGTAAGCATTTTATTTACTTGTGTTTCTTCAATAATTGTTTGAATATATTCTTTCTTTCTATACAAGTTAGATTGTAACTTTCAGTCTAGTTTTTTCTATGGCTGTGGCTAATCAAGGACTTTGATCTTTGAAAGATTTTAGAGAGTTTAATTATTATTTCTTTTGTTCCTTTTATAGAACTATACACAAAATAAAAAGTAGCCATATTTTTTTTCAATATTGCTGTATTTTGACTAATTAAAAGCATTTTTTTTCATGTATTTAAAAGTGAAGTCGTTGTTTGATTTGTAAAAGCATGTAAAGTATGACATTAGACATGTACATTATATTATTTGCTACTGATATTTGGCATACAAGAAATTAAAGAATTTGTAATTCCATTCACCAATCCAAATTATTTTATGGCTTCGTATTTGAACAATACAGGATAATGGTAAAAATTGAAAATAAAACTTTGGATGATTATTACTTCCTATTTTAGATATATTTTAGCCGCATGTGTCTGAAGTGGTCTTTGTCTAACACCTACTGGTCATGGAAATGGAATGTTCTAGAAGTTTTTGTATAATGAATCTGTGTTGATTTCAAGGAGAGTTTACTCTTTGTAGCTTGTCGACTAACGTTTTGTCTTCAATTGTTGTTGTGGTTTGCAACCTTGCAGATTTTTAATTTAGAATCGTCTTGCTCTGTTTCATGAACATCATGGGCTCTACTGTAAAAAGCCTTATTTTAGGAAAGTAAATTATTCTTTTGCTTCAAAAGAAATTGCGTTCTCTTGATGAATTTATAGACATATTTGGCATTCTTTTTTGCTGCTTGCTCTATCAATTTTCTTAAAACATGTTTTGGAGTCTGATAATAAGTTTGGTCCTTTAAGCTAAACCTTGTACTATATCCCTTTTTCTTCATGAATGCCAGGTACTATACTGGGCATCCAAAAGAATTTGGTCCATCAAGGATCATTCAGTTTACATCTGAGCGTCAATTTGTTCAGCTCCTGCATGAAGGCCAACCTGTTGTTGTTGCGTTTACTATTAAGTGAGTTGGGCCCTTCTGATGTCTCAAGTATCTGTAATCCTACCGTTTTAAAGCAACAGCCGTCATAGTGTAAATATCTAGCTTAATATGAGCATGCAAGCATTCTAAATTGTAGTTATCATTCCGCAGTTATCAGTAAAAAACTTAGGCTTTGTTTGGGACGGTTTTTTTTTGCTTCTTAAAACAGTTTTTTAGTACAAAATTAAAAAATTTTATACTAGAAAGCTGCTTTAAGAAGCAGAAAGAAAGCCTTCCCAAACGAAGCCTTAGTCACAATACGACGAGAAGATGAAAGTTTTTGGATTTACTATGGACTGAATATTATTTGTCTGAATGCATAAATGATGTTTGATAAATGCCGTATGGTTATTTTAAAAATTGGTTTTTATTCTTGTAAGGAGTTTCACTGTCCTTTGGGAGTTCACATATATCATAGGACTAGGAAGCTTCAAGCATATTATTTATTTTATTTTTTCATATTCTACTATTCACTGCAGGTGTCCATACACAAAGCATTTTGATAGCGTATTGGAGGAAGCAGCCGCAGAGTTTTATCCAAATATAAGATTTGTGCGAGTATGACTACTTATAAATTTACTTTTGGTTTATAATTGCCCTTTGCTTTTTAAAGAACTGTATTATACCTCTTTTAGGTTCAAGGAAAAAAAAATATGGAATCCGTAACTCCTGCTTTTGAACTGCATTTTATCTGTTGCTTTAATTTTTCTTAAAGATTGCACAAAATAAAACCAGTTTTTTCCTTAGTTATTGGTTTGGGTCCTTAAGAGGTACCTTGAAACTACTTTGGAGATCTGGATAATGAAGGTTAGGGCTTTTTTTAAGCCATAAGGCTTACGCTCTTCTTCGCTTTTCAACAACTATAGATAGCTATTGGGACATCTTGTGGTGTTCCATTTCATTTTTTAATTTTTCATATCAAAGTTCCTTTGAATGCTTTAAATTGGAATGCATAGAAAATTAGTATTGTATATTTGACATGCCAAACTTAGGAAAATATTTGTCTTTTCCATGGTTTTTTGAAACTGGTAGAGACTGTCAATTTCCATGTCTCAACTCAATTGTGGAGAGTTTTTTTTATTAAAATAGTTTGGTTTTAGCTGTTTTTTTTTTTCATTTTCATGACTTTGTTGATGCAGATAAAGTAGTTTCTTGAAAAGCATCTTTCAATTAGGAAGGTGCAAGTGAGCATAATTCTCCTTGTGTGTGGAATTAGATTGGGAGGGGAGGGTGAGTGGAAGGGGATAGGTAAGTGTAATTTAATTGGGTTGAGGTTAGCAGTATTATTATAATTATTAATTAGTCTCGTCACATGTAATGCATGTTAAGAGTCCCTAGTCGATTGTTGCTAGCCGTCATTTCTTGTATTATTTGCTCATATATCAATGTAAAAATTGGTGTGGACTTTTCTCAACCATTTTTTTGTATTCTTATAATTTCCATTTTTTGCTGCTCCTTTTGGGATTAAATAGATGTTTTAACTCTTTAATTTCTTTTGCTTGTCAAAATTTTATTGGGTGCAGCTATGATGAAGTATTATTGTTGTGTTTTATGAAATAAAATCGTCATACTCACAAATAGAAATATGAGCTACTTTCTATACGAGCATGTTTTTTGTACATGTGCAAGATGGTGATTTACCAAGCATATTTTTTGTATAAATAAATCTTTTTTTTTTTTTGGAAAATTTAAGAGGAAAGCATAACCAAACAAAACATATGCGTCATGGAATATGACAATGAAAATACACTCATCTACTTGCATCTGTGATTATGTTCGGCTATCAATTAAGATCAACATAATAAAAAATATAAGGAAATAGGTAATTTCTTTATGTTTCCATTGGAATATGATTTAAGCTGATTTGAATGTTTTCCCTCCCCTACTCTTCCTTTCTCTTAAACAAGCACGCACACGGACATTTATTCTCAAGAGATATATAGAGCTAGTAGTCCATATTCTATGTTTATTGTTGCTCAAGAGCCCAACGGTCTTATCTCTCACTTTTTTTTTCTAGTCCTCAAACAAATATAACATCTAAACTTGTCGCATTTTTATAACTTTTTTCCCTTTAAGTGTATTGATATCTTGCTATAGCATCTAATCCCTATGAATGGAATGAGTTGGGACAGAGGTTGGAATGACTAGGATGGTTTTACAAATCTCTTTGGGATTCACAGAAGAAAGCAATTGCCTTCAATTTTTTTACTTGGCTTATAGACGTTATGCTTCTTCAAGGTTTCCTTATCGATGATTAAGACTCATCGATAAGACAAAGTAAAAAGATCAAATGAGGGGCATCCACTCAGGTGCAATATATCATAAGTACAGTCACGCAATCTCCTCTTTTTTACAAATCTCCCATAGAATACAATGGCCGAAGTGCCCTTTACAGAAAAAATAATGATATTTATAGGCATTTTATTTGGTGAAGATATGCAACGCGGTTGATGTGTTGAGGCATTTTGTTGAGACTGGGCTCCTATGGTGGGGATTGTGGCATGTTGACACCATTGTTGAGGAAGTAGGAGATTGCCCCAAGCTATTCAAAATGTGATATTTGAATGATCTTATATGATGATCGCTGATGTTGGACAAGCTTGCTATAGAAGATAGCATATATTGGGAATCAATTTTAGGCTTATCGTATTTGGTGGTATGAAACCTGTCAGAACTTCAAATTGGTCGTGATCTAGGCTAACAATATTCGACCATAGTTACCATGTTGACAATTATGATTAAGTGAGAAAAATGAGATGCTACCCTTCTCCCTTACACTATGAGAACTCTATTTATAAGGCTTCATATAGGGAAATAAGCTACCAATTTAACACATGTTTGATTATCCTTATTATATACTTATTTACAACAATAATATAAAAAACAAGCATTTGTCATCAGTTACATAAATCTTTTTTTTTACCATTGTATCCTATTAAGTGTTAAATTTTCATTTAAATATAACAAAATGTCATTTTTATACTTTCTAACCAAGTCTTTTTAGGCCTACTTCTATCTTTCTTAACATATATTAGATTTAATTTATTTACTCTCTTAATAAAGTCACTGGAAGACTGACGTTTTATATGACTAAACCATCTCAGGCGACTTTGTAATCTTATTTGCTACTGGAGCTACTCCAACCTTTTCACGTATATACTCGTTTTGTATTTTGTCTCTAAGTTTAAAGCCACTAGTCTACCTGAGCATCCTCATCCTTGCACCATTTAATTTTATGCTTCTCTTTTAATGGCCAACATTATGCTCCTTAAAGCATTGCAGGTCTCACCGCCATCTTATAAATTTTTTTCTTAAGTTTGAGGGGTACTTTCTATCACACGACAAACTCGATGCATTTTTCCACTTCAACCATTCAACTGTAATTCTACTAATAATATCCTCATATTTCACCATCACTTTGAACAACAAATCTGAGATATCTAAAACGCGCATAGAAAGTGGTCACTTGACAAGAGGTGGTTGTGGAAGAGGTTCGATGAGAAGGGGCAATGTCGCAAGCTTCTCGATGAGAAGAGTATGTAGCATTGGACATCATCACATCATAGTGCAATCCGAGGCAAAGACTACTAGACTAGAAGAGAAGGCTCGGACAAAGGTGACAGAGGATTGTGTCACCAAGAAAGCAACTATAGATTATGACATTTCCCATACCTTGAAGAGGATGGAATCCGAGAAGGTGGATAAGGTCACAATGTTGGTTGAAACTCCTACAACGGTGTCCATTGCAATGATGGGAGAGGAAGATGTAAGTTGCTAAAGTGCCTCCCCTTCTGAGCACATGGAGGTTTTCAAGGAGTCCCTTGCCATGATATTGAGGGCAAAGATGTAAGTGTTCAACAATGCTTAGTTCCAATGGAGCCCTCTTGAGGTGCAATAAATCAACCTAACCTAGTGGAAATTCTTGAAGAGGAGAGGTTCTTAGATAATATCGACAAGAGGGTAGATCCCTCGAACCCTTTAGGTGCGAGTCGCTCCCATTGAACCACTTTGAGAGTGGGAGGAGTCCGAGTAGTGGTTTTAAAGATGCCTCATATCACATTAGCCACTCATTGAGGAAAGGCTTCAAGCTGATCTTCTAGGCCGGGTGGATGCGTCAATGCCATCGAGGAGTTTCATGACTTGTTGTAAGACCCATTGAATGACAATTAGGCTTTAAAGGACATCTTGGGTTTGAGCCAAGCAATGATGTGCTTGATGGAGACCCTACAAGGGATAATGCTCAATACCTCAACAATCATAAAGTGATCCCTAGGTGCCTTGATAGGCTATTATTCATCTAAATTAAGTTAAGCTAGGGTGGATAACCTCAGAGGGGAGGTGTGAGCCAGTATTCGTAGCCACCCTAGGACCCTCACGAAGACAACCATTTGATCTAACATTATGGAGTTGATCAATTGATTACAATTGTCAAAGGACATGATAGATCGGGGTTGAGATTAAGGATAACATCATGTATCCTACGATGGAGTTCTACTGAAGGCTAACCTAAAGTCCATTCTATGGCCGACCGACCTAGGGTGCTCTCCCATGTGGTCAATACGGGTGTGGAGCTTAGACTTATGGGAGCAACAAGCAAAGGCCATCCTCGAACTTTATTGCTATCTGACAAAATGATGGTGGCTATGTTATTCATGCATTTCCAAGACATTTGATTTGAACTTATAGCGTCTTTTGTCATGTCTAATGCATATTGTGAGATTGTATGCCTTCCTGGGGTGGAGCATGGTTTCCAAGATGATGCTTTCGACAGCTCTACTTGACTTGATCCACAAAGGTAAGGTTTGCACTCAACCGAATTCACAGACAAGAAGGGCAATCCCAAGAATTTCCCAGGTTTTAAATTCATTTGTATTTAGCTTTTTTAATGTAATTAGTGATGTAACACTTATAATATTTTATAAAAGAACGAAAATATTGGACTTTTTTTCTAAATGCTTTTTCATGTGTGTGCTTAATGAATATACACTGATTATTGCATGATGGTTGAAATCAAGAAGCGGGGTGATGTTGTAAGTCCTTTTTCGGTTGGAAACTATTTGGTCGAAACAAACAACAACTCTATTCTTGAAATTGGCTCCATAATCCTCGAAAAAAAAAAACACCTTGTTGTTGAAATGCTATCTATTATTAGTAATAATTGCTGTGGGAAACCCAAATCTTGTCAGCACTCATAACCATATGAATTTGATTACTGCCTCTCTGGTTTCTATAACCAGTGTCTTTACCTCAAACCTCTTGATGTGATATTTACACTTATGGGCATATCTCTTTTGAATACTCATATGAATCTCTTTAGATCACTCCTGACAAGGAGAGGACCAACAAAATCCATTCCATTCTTGGTGAATAACTAAGGATCAATTATTGATCATATCTTTTGAACTAGCCTGTGGAGGATTCTGGAGTGGGTTTGATACGTTTGTGATGTGAAACCACTAGGAGTTACTTTTAGAAATTAGAGAGAAAAAGATTAAAGCGTTGCTCACTTAAATTTAAAGCTATCACATGAAAGTGAGTTAAAAAATTGAAAATTTTAACTTGCTTAGGCCCAGAGATATGCAATAGAGATTAACCAAAATAATTCTTTCAATGTCCAAGGTGATTTAAATGCAAAGTACAATTAACAAAATCCCACGATTAACAATGAGAGGTTCACCTCAAGGGCCATCTCACTCAATTATTAGTAGGCTTTTAGCGGAGAAAGAAGATCCATACGATGAAAGATATTACCACTAGAGAAACGGCGTCGAAGAACTTCGTTGGTGGAGAGGTAACCGGTGGAGATGGAGGTGGTGGATGGCCGACGATGCTCCAATTGTAGTCGGGACGTTGACGGGTGAGGATGTGCGTGATATTAGGGACAACTCGATCCAAATAGTCTCCAATGGTGGCGTGACTGGCGTCGTCTTCAAATCATACGTCGAAGTACGGAGATCGTAGGATGTCGAGATTTCCGTTGGCGTCGAACACGAGTCCCCACTCAAATTCGGGATCCGCCATTCGACATTGAAGTGGAGAGGGGAGGCGTCGTCTTCTTCTTTCCTTGGCTTCTCAATTCTCAGAGAAGCAAGATGGGGGGCGGCGGGAGCAGGAGGAAGAGGGGAGCCGGCGGTTTCCAAGAGGGATCCAATGGCAATAGGTTTAATCCCAAAACTAGAGGGAAAATTCAAATTGAAATTAATTCAAATTTGAAAGGAGTTAAGGGGAGTTAATGGCAAATAATGGGAGCCCATTAAGGGGGGCCGGCGGTATGAGAGAGAGAGGGGAGGAAGTTATGTTAAAACCTGAAATTAATTTCAGGTTTTGGGAGAAATAGGGGGGAAAATTCATTTGAAATTAATTTCAAATTCATGGGTCATCAATGCATTAAATGGTGACATGAATGAGGATCCATCCATGGTGGCCGGCAGCTTCTAGAGGGAGGGATTTGGTGTGGGAGCAAGTAAATAGTTTCCAAATCGGCTCATGAGGTTTAGGAAGGATTAGAATAAAATCCGTTTGAATTTCATCATAAAACGGATTTAAAAACTTTCCTAATTTGGAATTTCCAAAATTGGAAAGTTTTTGAAATTCAAAAATTGAATTTTCAAAATTGGAACACGTGGGGAATGGGGGAGGTGGCCGACGGTTGGGAGACTTCCTGACGGGTGGTGGTGGTGGGGTGGCCAGCGGCCAAGAGGGGACTAGGGCCGGCGGGTTGGGGAGATGAAGGGGATTGGGATGATGGGGATAGACCACGAGTCACGGACTCTTCCAATGACTGGTGGGTATTGCTTTTCGCCCTCACCTTGGGCTCTCGTTCTCCTCTCTAGTGCACCACAAGAAGAAGAAAAAGATGACAAAACAAATTTTCATTCCAAATATTCATTAACCTCAATACAACACATGAGACCACTATATATAGGTCTCAACTCATAAAAAGAGAAAGTACGAAATTGACCTCTGGGCTACAATAACAAAGTAACACCCCACAGGGGTAAAATGGAAAGACTGCAAATAAAATAAAATAAAAAATACATCATGACATCTGAATTACAAGTAGAGGCGTTGAATCGTGGCCGTCGATCTGCGGTTTCGCCGGCGATAAACATGTCGGTAGCGTCTGTCGATGTCCTCATCAGTTTGACACTTTCTATTTAAGTTCACACATCCTTCTTTATGGTTGATAAAAAGAATCCTCAATGCACCACCTTCCTTGCTAAATCCTTACTAGTTCAATGGCATCCACCTATTCTAGAATAAACTTAACACTTCTTGGGGCTTCAGTAGGTGTTAGGTAGTACAAAGCGATCACTAAAAACCATTTTTGAAAAGCACCCTCTTTGACATAAAGTACTTGGCTGCCTAGTATTTGTATAACCAAGCATGGTCGCAAGTGCTTGGTAGCTCTCTGTTCACTGCATACTTCTTGATCTCATCCAACAAGAGCTAAGTTTTGTCCAATTTCATGACTTTCGGCTCTTATATGGATAGGATGGTTAGCCCCTTCTTTGTTGCATGTCGGTTTCTAGACGGCCTGTAGGTTGGCAATCAAGTTTTCTCATACACCACGGTCTTCAATTAAAATTGGATTGGGGATCTTTCGTTAGGAATTTCTATATGTACTTGGCTAGTTTTTGTTTCTTTATAGTTAAGTCCTAGTGATTTGATTAACTACAACTATGAGCAGGCATGCAATACCAACTTATTTACTTACATTACTGTAGATAGCATAAATCTGTCAAACAAAATTTCACAGTCCGCTTGGTTGTTTTTCCTCTCCAAACCAAGCCAGATGAGCATATAATGGTTACACCTTGCGGGCTAATGAGTGCTATCCCGAGTACATTTTGTTCTCTCCTAAGGCTCCATCAATAAAGAGTACCTAAGCTCTTTATCACCTTTACACAATCTTGGCGATCTTCCTCTCCAAGAATTGACTCCATGACATTGTACCCCATGAGTTTAGGCTTGGTGGTCAATTGGGGAACATAGTCAGTATCTTTCTAAGTCCAGTAGACCACTTTGTAAGTCACACAGAACTAAAATAATGGATGTTCGAATTCTACAAGACTGGCAATTAACAATTGGGAATCAATTTGAGGCTTGCAATGTGCCACATATTGAGGGATGACCTCGGTCAGATCTCCTTTTGACCAGCTATGATCAGGTATGACAATATCCAGCTTGCAGTAAACTATTAGATGGTCCCTAGTTGAGTGTGAAGACTGAGTGGTCACATCCACTTTTGTGAGTTCTTAGAGTTTTAACCACACATAGGTGAGTTAGTAGTTTTACTATGGGATGCCCCCATTCTAACATTTTTTATTTTGGACACCTGTTCTTTTATATGATAGATAGCATCTTACATAAACATTTCACTTGGTATCAAGTTAATTTTAAGAGCAACTTTGCTAAATCTTGCGCAGGAAGGGCAGGAAAGATTGCAGATAATGACACCCTAATCAAACCTTGATTGATTGGCACTATTTATTCCTGAATCGTCAGTTTTAGAGTAGTTTCTCAGGTTCATCTTTATAGGGATGAGATTGATGCGTCCCGCCTCCAAGCAGCCGAGGGGAGATCCGCGACCAGCAGGCGAGCGGAGACCGCGAGTGAGAGCATCGCGCGGGTCGACTTGCCGCGCGGAAGCGGGAGGCGAGGCGGAGCGGCTGGGGGGGGGTTCGGCCTTGGGCTGAACCGGTCCAATCCTGGACCGGTTTGGCTCGGGTCAAACCTGTGCTGGGTGGTTCATTTTGGGCAGCCCACTAGTGGGTTTTGTTGGTCTTTTGGCTTGCTTTAAGTAAGGAATAGAGGGAGATTTCTAGGGTTATGCAAGATTTGAGTTTTCTCTTAGCCTCCATAGTTTCTTTCTCTTGTTCTTCTAGGGTTTGTAGTGGGAGACCTTGTCCTTCTCGAAGTGGACAAATTGTATCTTTCTTTTGTGTTGAACTTGCTTCCCTTTCAATATTAAATGGATTCCCTTCTCTTTTTTATGATTGTGCTCTAATTTTGAGAGTTTTCCTTCAAAGTTTTGGAGGGTTTGTGCCCTAATCCGAAAATCATCAAAGTGCACAACTCTAGGGATTTTACCGTGGAAAATTTTTGCTTTTGATCTTGTTTTGTTCCTCTCATGCTCATTTGAGAGAAATTAGGGCAAAATCGAATTGGTGAAACCCTAGGGCGTATCAGAGATATGTCAGGAAAATCATTCTTTATGAACATTTATCAAACAGTATTACACATAATTATGTCAAACTTGTTTGCAATTTAAAAGAGTTATTTTTATTTATACCCCTGTTTTTTGCAATTCATTTATTTTAGTTTCTCAAGATTCCTGATGAATTACTATTTTCAAAGTTAAAAGTTCATAATTCAATAAAGGACCTCATGTATGAAGTTTAAGCAAATAACAATGATTAATTTCTTATTGACTACCCTCTATTGTGCAGCCAGGTTGAATGCCCAAAATATCCAGGATTTTGCATTGCAAGGCAGAGAAAAGATTATCCGTTCATTGAAATTTTTCACAGTCCAGAAGAGGTAGGTTTGTTTATTCTTCCACAAAAAATCCGGTTTCATCTTAAGATCCTGCAGTCAAGGTATTTGCCTCATCTTTTAGTACAAACTATCGTTAATTAGAATCTTATCTCTGGAATGTACTATGTCAACCTCACTGAAAACTCTCCCCCACAAAACCTCTTCATCAACTAAACAAATAATAAAAATAAGATAACCTTTTTGTAAACCATGCTTTTAGAAAAAGTTGGTCTCTCTTAGCCTGCTCGTTGCTCAGAAAAGGTCGCCTTGCCAGTCATTCTAAAGAAACATTTGTCTAGGTAGGCTTGGTCCACCCATTGGTTTAGTTTACTAATCTTTGGCTCAACTTGATATAGTCCCATATAGTTGAGTCAAGTTTGATTGAAACGCAACTGGAAATGACATACTGGAACTAAAGAAGAGATCATTGGTTTTCTTCTTGTATGCTTTATTACAAGCCAAATATACCTGACTATAGCTTGCCAACTCCATTACAACTTATTTAAAAGCTTCGAACTTGAATAAAAATTAAGAGCTACGAACTCCAATGCTACTTATTAAGAGTTTTGAGAGTTTGTCTAGGTAGGCTTGGCCCACCCATTGATTTATTAAGAACTTGAATCAAAAGTACCACCTTCAACTTCAGGCGGGAACCTATTTCTTGACCTGCTTTCATTAATTTAAGAATTGCCCTTACTCGTCAGTTAAGAAATAGAAAATAATGATGCCCTCCTCTTTTCGGTTTTCCATTTGTGTTCTCCTCTCTCATTCTGCTTGACTTCTTCTCTTATCTTCAACCACAGTTTATTTCTTTTATTCATTTTATACCCCACTATTCATGTTTCTTCCATTCCTTTTTTATCATAGAAATATTTTGCTTATGCAATTTTTAGCTTATCTTTTTGTGACACTTAGAAAGTTGTAAATGTCGAGCCCAATGTGTCTCTAATCGCTGGGAAAACTTTTTTTAAGGGAATGAATCTTAAATTTATATTATTTAGAGTGAGAAGAATAGCTCGTGAGTACCTTTGTTGTAGTGAAAAATCCAAGGAATATTTAGGATTATATGTTTACACACCCATTATTACATGTAGAAATCCAGTTCTATTGCACCTGATTTAAATCACTGAACTTTCTTAAATTATTTCGTATTTACATATTAGTTTTATAAGTGTCGTAATTAACAACATGGCCTAGTAGTTCCTAGAAAAATTTTGGAGTACTACCTTTGTTGCAGCTAGCTTCTTTGCAATAAATAATCGTCTATCAGTAGAATTTAGTTAATTTGCTATTGCTGCAAAATTTCGTAATAATGGCAGTCACTTGATTGGGTGTTGAGCTCTGAGTTCTTCCAGTCACCTCTCTCTCTCTCTCTCTCTCTCATGCATGCACACACGCCGTGCTCTATTTCAATAAGCTATTTGGAAAAGCTTCTACATTGATTTTATCTGGGTTCCTTGAAATTCTTTTAACAGGTGGTTTATGTTAACCCGAAATTATTTTGTGTGCTTGGTTTACGTATTTGTTATTCTAATTTTCAGTTGTTCTTATCAGGCAGCTAATCAAGCAAAAGTTGCAGATGCCAACATAACAAAGTATTCGGTCAAGGTTCTTCCTGTAAGGCTATAAAGTTTCTTTTTCCCAAATTTATGCTCATGTCGAGAGAAAACTGGTTTTTTTTTTCCCAGTAAAAATTTTGTTGGTTAAACTACCATCTATTATTGGAGAAATTATTATGTACAGTCGCCAAACGCCATCCAGAGTTCAAACAGAATGAGTCACGTCAATACCACGGTTCGGTATTGCTCAGTACCGCGGCTCGGTATCGCTCGGTATTGCTGACATGGCTCATTCTGGTTGGTCTCCGGATGTAGAGCTGCGTTTGGCGTCCGCACAGAATAATTTTTTCTATTATTGCCAATGGGACACTCTGCATTTATAAAATTATAGTCTTGTTTTATGGTTCAAGTAACGACGCAACTCACCTTGGTCTATTGGTTGAGAGCTTAGGCTTCCAACTAAGAGGTCTTAGGTTCGAGTCTAAATGGCCTAAATGTCCCAAAAAAAAAAAAAGGTTCAGGTAACGTCATATAAGTGCTATATAGGATAACTATTATAACATTTAAAAATGCAAATATTGTTTTATTTGTAAAGCAATCAATAGTAACGCCGCATCATTAGTTGTCATTATTGATTTTAATTACATTTTGAAAATTCCATTGGTCTGCTCGCTTGATGAGTCATTCATACTTTTTTGACCATATTTGTCGGATTGTTGGCGTTCGGTGAGTAGATAGCTTGGTTTGGGTTTGGTAACCTTTGGTGGTTTTGGAAATATTCCTTAAAAGTTTGTGCTGTCAGTTGTCATATTTGCTGTTGCTGTGCGGTCACGGGAGCTAGTAACTGTAGCAGGATTTTGGTTATTGTAAAGGAATTTTTGCAGCCGAGTGTTTTAGCGGCTGCACGTATCTGCGTTGGATTTGAAAGTTAGAGCAGGTTGACAGAAAGTCAAATTAAATTGATTATTAATTGGTTGATTTAAAATTTTAAAATTAATTTGGGATTAATATAACTCTAAATCAAGGTTAATTCTATCCTAACCTATATTATGAATCTATAAACAGCGACATGAGGCTTGCAATTGAGAGCTTTTGGGGCTTGAATATAATTTAATTTCTAGTTTAATTCTTGTAAATTGAAGTTGGATACACGATTCCTTCAAAAGTGCCGTATAAGTGAGAATACCTAATTTCTGGGGAAGTCGCCTCCTTTTTTTAAAAAAGAAAAAAAATAAAATTTGGACCATTTCTCAATTTATGCATGTCATCCTTGCGCAAGGGTCATGCTAATCTTTTCTGTATTGTTCCAATTTTATTGGATGTCTCCGAAGAGACAAGTCACCTACTTATATCAGTGTGAGGCTTGATTTTTCTTGGATTATTTTGTATATTGTTTATTTTCTTAAATAATTTATTATTGGCTACTTTCATGCTTTCGAATTTGGTAAAAAATAATAGCAAGAAATCTAATTTTGCGGAAATTATCTGTTTACGTGCTGATTTTATTTGTTTTCAAATTATTGGTTGAAATTTTTAGATATTTATGATTATTTCATTGTCAATTGAGCTTGAATCCTACTATTAATTCTTTTCCAACAACAACAATAACAACATCAAACCTTTATCCTACTACATGTGGTCGGTAATTGTTTTCCAATGTAAAACTATTGGTATAGTTATTAACTTGTGATTACTAGATCTTATGCATACCATGCATCAAATATTTAAGATTATTTCGTTGTCAATTGAGCTTTAACACTACAATTAATTGTTTTCATGTAAAGAAAATGGTTGGTATAATTATTAACTTGTGATTAACAAATCCTCTACTTTTTTATGCATGAAAGCATACTGTGCATCATCTTAGTTGCATTACATAATCTAATTATGAATTGCCTTTTATCAAATTAGTATTAGAGTTTTATGTAATGTAAGATGTTATTCAGAAGCAGGGCTATTTATCAATTTAACTTAATAGATAGTGAAAGTGATCACATTTTATCAACTTTGAAAAATTAATTTACTTAATTATTGGAAAAAAAAAATCAAAGATGTGATGATATTAATTTACTTAAGCTTATAAATTAGAATTTGAAAGTCAATCAATTTAATGTACATAAATTTAAAGTGGATTTACTCACGATGAAAATCAATTCATTTAACTATTAATATTGGTAGGAGAAGAGGAAATATTCAATATAGGCAGTTTGTGCTCTTTAACAATGATACTTATGAAATTCATAGGTTTTTGTATTGAGTTGATGGCATAACTAGTTGTAGTGGAATTGTTTATCTATGATAGAGGAATTGATCATAAAGCTTTTAATTATTGTTTTCTAGATATAATTCAATTCATTTGAATGATAGACTCTATCTGATGAATGAATGATTAGTGTGATTTGCGAAATGAAATTAATTGGTTAAGAGTCAAGCTCAAATTCAAATGAGTTGAATTTGAAAGAAAATTTAAAAGATAAATATTTGCTTATGTTATATTGAGGCCACTTGATGAATTTATGATTAAAGTGGCAAAATTGCTATTGAATGCACGAATAAATTTAAAGAATTGTTGTTGCATTATAAAGTCATTGAAGATCCTAAAACCACTCTTTAAGTTTAGGTCCAATTTGAGATTCAACATCAAGAGAGTCATGACACCTCACAACGTTCCATCGCTCAAGCATTCCTTTTAACTTGAATTAAAATTTAAGCAAATTTTAAAAATTTCAATGATTTTCATGAGTTTGATGAAGAAATTAGTAATTCTTTAGACATTTTCTATTGATAATTCTTCGAATATAATGTGTTGTTTCTTAGCTACTCAAAGGTTGAATCTAATTGAAAGAAAATTATACTTATTCAAATTTATTCAAACATTGCGAGAAAAATTGCTAACTTATAATCAATATTTATATTTATATGTTGTTATCTAAGTCTCCCCTAGATTCCATGAATCTAATATTTGAAGCATTTCCACAATCATATAGGATCAAATATATCTAATTTCGATTTAATTGGCTACTTATATTTTTTTCTTAGGTACTGATGATCTTGGAAGATCATCAGTACCAAGTCCTGGATGTTTAACATTGCCGTTGCCAGGTCCAAAGTCCTGGATGAGAAAAGTGGAGGGTTACGTTAGGTAGTCTACAGCCAGCGTAAAATTTGTAGAACATTAATGATATGAATCCTTTAAGAAATTGTGTTAATGCTAGGGTGTCCCCTGGAAGCGACGTGCTGTATGGCCTGAATACAGTGACAAGTGTGCAAGGGCCGCTGCACCGGCGCCCGTTTACAGTGTTAAATAGGTAAGGGTTCCCACATCAAGGACGGATGTGGGCAAAGAAGCTAGTCTATGAAACTAAAATTAGGATAGGAACTTGGAATTTAGGTTCCCTTACAGGAAAATTAATGGAATTAATAGATATTATGATTCATAGGAAGTTAAATATTTTGTGCATTCATGAAACTAAATGGGTTGGAGAGAAGGTTAAGGAAATTGATAGTTTATGATTTAAAATTTGGTATTCGGGTAGGAGTCGTACTAGAAATGGTGTATGTGTTATTATAGATAAGAGTTTAAAGGATAATATTATAAAAATTAATATGATTGGAGATAGAATTATAGCTTTAAAGATTGTTGTTGATGATAAGATTGTTAATATTATAAGTGCTTATGCTCCTCAAGTAGGTTTGGATATGAGTTCTAAATTAAATTTTTGGAATGACTTAGAAGAATTAATACAAAAAGATACCTCTTGAAGAAAGAGTTTTTAAATGGACATGTTGGTAGAGAGGTAGATGATTTTAAAAGCAATCATGGTGGCCATGGATTTGGAGCGACGAATGAAGGTGGCAAGACCATATTGGATTTTTGTTTAGCTTATAATTTTTTAATTGCTAATACCTTATTTAAGAAAAGAAATGAGCATCTCATCACTTATAAAAATGGATATAATACAACCCAGATTGACTATTTTCTTATTAGAAAATTAAATCGTTTAGATTGCAAAGATTGTAAAGTTATTCCGAGTGAAAATTTATGTACCCAACATCGATTATTAGTTTTGGACTTTAAGATAAAGGGGCATAAAATAAAAAATAAAGTAAAACAATTTTCTAGGATTAAATGGGGGCATTTAAAGAATATTAACAAAAATATTTTTGGAAATAAGATTTTAGATCTTAAGATTTTGTCTGTGCATGAGGATGCTAATATTATGTGGGAAAAAGTGGCTAGTGATATTAAGAATATTGCAAAAGATGTCCTTGGAGTATCAAAGGGAAAAGCTCCTAATAGTAAAAATAGTTGGTGGTGGAATCCTAATGTGCAAGAAAAAATTAAAAATAAGAAGCTTTGTTATAAAAACTGGTTTAATTTTAAAAATTCTGATAATTGGGAAATATATAAAGTGGCTCGTAAGGATGCTAAGAAAGCAATATGCGATGCAAAGACATTAGCTTTTAGTGATTTATATAATAGATTAGATACTAAAGAGGGAGAAAGATATATGTATAAGTTAGCCAAACAAAGAGATAGGAGTAGTAAGGATTTAGTTCAAGTGAAGTGTATTAAAGATGAAGATCAAAAAATACTTTTCTTAGAAGATGATATTCAACAAAGATGGATGAGATATTTTGCTAAACTTTTTAATGAAGATTGTGAAAATAAGATTGACTATAGTGACCTTAGCACCCTAAATGAAAATAAAGATTTATGTTTTTATCGGCGTATTAGTAAAACTGAAGTTACAGAGGCTTTAAAGAAAATGAAGGGTGGAAAAGCTGTTGGACCTGATGATATTCCAATAGAGGTGTGGAAATGCTTAGGAGATGAAGGAATTTCATGGCTTACTAAACTTTTTAATACTATTTTGAAGACTAAAAAGATGCCAGATGAGTGGAGAATGAGTGTGTTAATTCCTATTTTTAAGAATAAAGGTGATGCACAAGATTGTGCGAATTATAGAGGTATTAAGTTAATGTGTCATACTTTAAAACTATGGGAGCGAGTTATGGAGCATAGGTTGCGGCGTGATACTAATGTTTCTCAAAATCAATTTGGATTCATGCCGGGTAGGTCGACTATGGAAGCCATACATTTATTAAGAGGTTTGATGGAGAAATATAGAGAAAATAAGGAGGATCTACATATGATATTTATTGATTTAGAAAAAGCATATGATAAAGTTCCAAGAGAAGTGCTATGGAGAGTTCTTGAAAAGAAAGGAGTCAATAATGCTTATATTCAAATCATTAAAGATATGTATGCAGGAGCTATTACATGTGTTCAAACACAAGGTGCCAATATATATATATATATACGAACGCTTTCCAATATTCATATATTAATACACGAAGCTCTTCCTATCCAAAGGCCAGTATATTGAGTCCAGCCTTTCTCCTGTAGTCCGCCTCTCTCTCTCTCTCTCACGCTCTCTCTCCAACCCAAACAAAACCCAAAACCCAGGAACGATCTTCCGGAATTCCATCAGGATTGCCAGAACTCGGCATGGACGGTCTGGAAATCCGGACACCTCCACCGGATTCGTCTTACTAAATGTCAGGCGATCCCTACTTCCTGCATCGCCGAGGTCGTCCTCGAAGACGAAGGCGATGGCCGCAGGCCCGGCCGGCCGTCTGCTGATTTCTCTAGAACAAGCAAGAGTAGCAGAGCATTCCAATTTATAGCATAGCTATAGTGGAAGATTCCAATTTCCGAGATAGATATATAAACAGGAAGAAAATAATACCAGAATTTTAATAGAAAGCAATTAAAGCGTGAAGAAGGAACCAAAACAATCATCTTGGGCACCGGTCAGCAAATTTCCATGGCGACGGTGAGCGCCTCGCCGTCGCCCGACGAGTTAGCGGCGAAAGTGGCGCATAAGAGGTACGAAGGGTTATTAATGGTGCGCTCGAAGGCGCTCAGGGGAAAGGGCGCGTGGTATTGGGCTCACCTGGAACCCATCCTCATCCAAACCTCCGACACCGGCATCCCTAACGCCGTCAAGCTCCGCTGTTCCCTCTGCGACTCCTTCTTCTCCGCTTCCAACCCTTCCCGCACGGCCACAGAGCATCTCAAGCGCGGCACTTGCCCCAATTTCACCTCTCAACCCAAACCCATCACCTCCATCCCTCACCAAGTCAACAACCGCAAGCGATCCTACGCCGTCGACGTCGTATATTCCTCCTCCTCAACCCCTCCACAGCAGCCACATTTGTTGCTCTCCGGTGGGAAGGACGATCTCGGCCCGCTTGCCTTGCTCGAGGACAGCGTCAAGAAGCTCAAGAGCCCTAAAACTTCACCTGGCCTTGCTCTTTCTAAAGCCCAAGTAGACTCCGCCGTTTCGCTTCTCACCGATTGGGTCTACGAATGCGCCGGCGCGGTTTCGTTTTCATCCATTGAACATCCAAAGTTCCAGGCTTTTTTAAGCCAGGTCGGCATGCCAGCAATCCCTCGCCAGATGCTCGCCGGCGCCCGCCTGGACGCTAGGTACGAGGAGGCGCGATCCGACGCCGACGCTCGCATCCGGGAAGCGAAAATTTTCCAGCTTGCGGCAGACGGATGGAAGTCCTGCTCTTCGCCTGACGACGACTGCTTCGTCTCCCTAACCGTTAATCTCCCCAATGGCACGACCGTCTTCCGCCGCGCAATCCTCACCCATGGCCGCGGGCACTTTAGCTACGCAGAGGAGGTGCTTAGGGATACTGTCGTCGACGTCTCCGGTGGCGTTGGCGGCGTAAACCGCTGTGCCGGGATAGTCTCCAACCGATTCCATTCTAAGGCTCTTCGCAATCTGGAGAGCCGGAATCCATGGATGATAAATCTTTCCTGCCAACTCGAAGCTTTCCGCAGCCTGCTCAATGACTTTGCCCGCGACCTTCCACTCTTCCACAATGTCACCACAAGAACGTCAAAAATCGCTTCTTTCTTCAACGACATTTCGCCTGCAAGAACCATACTCCACAAATATCAATTACAGGAGCTCGACAGAACCCGCCTTCTCCATTGCCCGTCCTCTTCCATGCACGGAAACTTTTCACCAATCTTCGCCATGCTCGATGACATAATTTCCTCCGCTCGCCCGCTACAATTGGCCGTCCGCGACGAATCTTACAAAATTCTCTTCCTCGAGGACCCCGACGCCAGGGAATTAGCGGAGACGATCTCAAACAACGGGTTTTGGAAAGATTTACAAGCCGCACATTCACTGGTCAAGCTCATCCGCAACATGATGCGTGACATAGAATCAACCCGACCGCTCATCGGGCAATGCCTGCCGCTCTGGGATGATCTAAGGCTCAAACTAAAAAAATGGTGCGCCAAATACAGCATCGAAGAAACAGCCGCCTGCAAGGTGTTCGACAAAAGGTTCAGGAAGAACTATCACCCAGCGTGGGCTGCCGCCTTTATACTCGACCCTGTATATTTATCAAAGGATTCAAGCGGCAAATATCTTCCACCATACGAATACTTGACACCTGAGCAAGAGAAAGACGTCGACAAAATAATAACAAGGCTGGCCTCTCGAGAAGAAGCTCACATTGTGCTCAACGAGCTAATGAAATGGAGATCAGAGGGAATGGATCCTCTCTACGCCCAAGCTGTGCAGGTGAAGCAGATCGATCCGGCGACAGGGAAGATGAGAATTGCTAACCCACAAAGCAGCCGGCTTGTATGGGAGACTTGCCTGAGCGAGGGATTTGGATCACTTGCGAAGGTTGCCGTGAGACTCATCTTCTTGCACGCCACGGCGTTTGGCTTCCGATGCAATCTCTCGCTGTTGCGTTGGGTGTCCAAGCAAGGCTGGTCGAAGCCAGGCATGGAAAGAGCACTAAAGGTGGTTTTTGTCTCAGCGCAATCAAAATTGGAGAGGAGAGATTACTCGAATGAGGAGGAGAAGGATGCCGAGCTCTTTGGTAAAGGAGAAGATGATCCGCTTAATGAGACTTTCTTTGATGCCTCTTCGTTGTAAATTTTCGTTTGGTTTGGTTTGATTTGATTTGTTTCTTTTTTGCCTTTTGGTTTGCATTGTTTATTGCTTCCATCCATTTTTTTTGTAGAAATGAATTTGCCATAGTTGTTTCTGCAAGTTCATCTCTGTGCCCTAATTAGCTTCATGTGGGGGGTAAGGGCATGGATGGAGAATAGGTTTCTCTAATTTGCTTTAATGGAGTTTCTGGCTTTTGTGTTGGTAATGGTAAAAATTAAAAAATAGTAGTATGAAAATTTGATGTAAATTTTTGGGTTTAAAAAGACGAAATTATTAATCTGTGTTGGAAGAGTTGGTTTTGACCTCATGTTTTTAATTTATCCTTGCATATGATATAAAAATTCCTCCTTTATTATTAGAAATAGTTTTTTTTTTTAAATAAATCCTTTTTCAAACTTCAAATAGCTTTTTTTTTTGGGCTTAGCCAATTAAACTAAACTATCACACATCACTTACGCGATCTTCGAATCTAAAATCTCTTGATTTTTAGTAAAAGCTCACAACCAACAGATCAAGATGAGCTGCATGATAGATGTCTTATAACCGTGTAAAATTAGAGAAATTATTTTGTGGAGATGTCAGACGGTCCGGAGACCAACAGAATGCATCACATCACCCAGTACACAAAATGACGTGACACGTTCTGATTGGTCTCCTAACGACGTCGTCCGATGTCCGCTTAGATTAAATTTTCACGAAACTAGAATTTCTCACACTCTCTCTCTCTCTTTCTCTCTCTCTCTCTCTCATCACTTACGCAATCTTCGAATCTAAAATCTCTTGATTTTTAGTAAAAGCTCACAACCAACAGATCAAGATGAGTTGCATGATAGATGTCTTATAACCGTGTAAAACTAGAGAAATTATTTTGTGGAGATGTCAGACGGTCCGGAGACCAACTAGAATACGTCACATCACCCAGTACACAAAATGACGTGACACGTTCTGGTTTGTCTCCTAATGTTGTCTGGTGTCCTCTTAGATTAAATTTTCATGAAACTAGAATTTCTCAATCTCAATTATTTTTTCCTGATTTAATGATTGTTCAATTATATACTATAAATCAAATTAGATGAATACATGAGGGCTAGTTCTTTGTAAGACATCTCTCTCTCTCTCTCTTCAAAGTTGGCTTATTTGTTCGGATTTCAGTGATTATATGCTTGTTGGATAATGCATATATGCTAATACCTTTAAATATTATAACAGATATAAGCAAATCAAGCAACTTTTGTGAGACTGAAATTAAATATAAGAGCCTGACAACTCTAATTAATTTGCTTATAAAAAAGAATCTAGCTTTTTTTTTTTTTTTTTAAACCAATAACTTTCATTAATCAAAATAAAACGGTTACATCAACGTAAAAAAGGAACAAATAAGCTAACAAAAATGAGAATCAAAGAAAAATCCAGGCACAAGAATGACTCAGTTAACTGCCGAGGCTTCCAGCGACCCTGAAGCCAAACACGGACCGTCCAATAAAAGGTTGCCACCAGTAAAACGACAGGGCCGCGAGCACCGACCACATCATTGCCCATAGCCAATCGAAACAACGGATCCATCATCCAGTAAAGCAAATAAACCATAAGTAAAACTAGGGAAAAAGCCAAGAAAACATGAAAATTTAACGTCTACGACGGCCTTTACCCCAAAATTTCCCCCGATTAGGACCATTGATAAAAGGTTTACCACGAACCATCGAGAAATCATTGCTAGGGTCCGAATCCCCACTTTTATCCATTCCAGATTTAGAAGAATCCGAATCTGAACCATCCTCTGCTTCACCATATAACCAATTAATTTGATCCCTAACCCCCACAGCCGAACAGTCAGCCAAACATAAATCCATAGCATGTGAATTGACCAACTTCACAGGAACCTCCACAAGCCTGTTAGCAATCGGAGAAACCTCCTCCACACAGACAACCGAAGGAGGCTCCGTCCCAGCAATAACCGGGCCCAAACCAACAGGTAAATTGGCAGCAGTACCATCCACAGAATTAACAAAATTCTCCGTAGAAATAGGCGGCAAGAAAACATTGCTGATATGATTTGAAGCAATAGGAATGAAAGGTGCAGCATTCAGAGATAAAACACCCGAAAAAGCCTCAGGATCTCTCGCACCAATCTCCCCCAACTCAGCCAAAGAAGAAACGTGCTAAAAAACAACACCCTGCACCAAAGAGGCCGGACCCGACTCAACAAAAGGAGTAGGCGTTTCTAACGTTAAAGGAACAGCAGAATGAATCAAATCAGCCTTAGAAGTAAGGCAATCCACCACAGCAACCTCTCCAATCACAACCCCATCCAACGGCAAAGAAGAAACAGAGTGAATATTATCTAAAACACCCCCCTTTTCAGCATCAACAACAATTAAATTGTCAACACCAGACGGAACCACATTTACATCTTGAGCAGCAGAAACAAGTTCCCCCCCTCCCAAAACCGGCCGGCAAGATCCTTTCCCGTGCCCGATACATTTGCACACAGAACAAAACTCAGGAAAATCATCTAATAACACATCCTGGACATAACCCAACGAATCAGAACCAAGCCAAATTTGTTTAGGATAGTCTTTAGTGATATCAAGTTCAACTAAAACACGCGCATTTGACGGACGAGAGCCAACCGACGTAGCTTCGTCAATTTTTAAGGGTTTACCAAAAATTTCAGCCATACCGAAAAGAATACGAGGAGAAAAAAATGGGGACGTGAGAAATTTGATAGAGGAATGCAGCAATTAGCAAATTTGAAAGAACTTAAAATTATTATTATTATTATTTAAAATAATGTAAATATGTTTACTACATATTTTTTTTTTTTTTTGGAAAATTAGGGGCAGAGCCCATTCATTAAACTATAAAAAGGAAACAATTACAAATAAGAAAAGAAAAAAGGAGAGAAGGTGAGCAACATTGCTCATAAGAAAAAGGAGCAAGAGCTCACAGCAACCACAAAGCTATAAAAACCAAAACCTATGGCAAAGCCCAAAAAGAACGATAGAAAAAACATAATGCCTGGACTCAGGTTTTGAGAAATTCTCGCAAAATAAATTGCGCCATTAGAAAAAAATTGGCTCCCTTGGTTGCCCGAAAGCCGTCCAAAGGGATGCCAGGACGGGAAGACATCATTGTCCAAGGCATCAAAAATTCCCATCCAAATAAGCAAAATCTCTCGAATGCATCCCGATAAATGAAGCAATGAGCGGCCTGCATCAAAACTCCTACAGCAAAATTTCCAATAAGGCATGCCATTAACCCAAATACCATGCCAATCAGCCTGAATAACCACAAGAGTCCATGCATCCAGATTTCCCGCAGGGTCAACAGGTATAACAGAGGAACCACCAGAAAAATCTTTCCAACCACATTCAACCAACAACTCCAACAGAAAAAACCAAAACCCAATATAAGCATTCCTGTCATTAACAGCACAGCATTCCCACAAATCCAGCACAGTATAATGCATATTAATGCATTTGCTTAAGCATATCTTGATAAATATCCCCATCCTTCCAAGATTTAATTTTTTGAGAAACAGCCTTGATAATAAGGTGACGAGTGGTGCTACTGCTACAGAATTTTTCCCCAAATTTCCTTGAGTTTCTCTCCCTCCATGTATAATACACTGTGCACCATAATAGCAAAGGATATAAAGTATGCTTACCCAACAGAGTAAAATTCCCGTCACCCAGGAAATCAACGACTTGTTGAAGATTATGTCTCAGTAAAAAGGTATTTAAAGCAGGAATTAACTTAGCTATAATTGCATGGGTATAGTCACACTCAAAAAACAAATGTGAAACAGTCTCAACATTAAAATGACACAGACAGCAAATAGGATTCACAGAAATGCACCGCTTGATCAACACATCCGAAGTTTTCAGACCTCCAACCAAACATAACCAACCAAAAACAAAGAATCTTAAAGCCGCCCTCTTGTGCCAAACAACCTTATGCCAGCCAACAACAAATTCATTAGAGTAAAATTCACTTAAAAAATCACTATATCTGCCAATTTTGCCATTGTTCCAATTTAAAACAGCACCATTATGATGAATTGGAATAGAAAGAATCCAAGAACGGATAGGATCAGTGACTGAAGAAGGGATTTTCCAGGCAGCATCATCCATAATAACCGAAATGTTGGAGTTGAGAGGAAATAAATCCCTCAAGTCAGAGACCTGGGATATACTAGATAAACAACTCCCACAACACCAATGATCCCACATTAAAGAAATGGGGGAACCAACAGTAATTTTGAAAGCAAAGTTCCTTTTGACAATAACAGCAGTATCACAGATCAGTTTTCACATAGGGGAGACCAAACAACCAGCTGATTTCCAGGGAGAGGAATAGTTGTGAAAATACTATTTAGCTAACAAGGATGGAGAATTGTACATCCTAGAAATGATGGAGCAGGAATTAGCAAAGCGAATAACACTTAGAGAAGGTAAACCCAAACCCCCAGCCACTTTAGGTTTACAGGTGTTTCTCCAGGATATAAGGTGAATCTTCTTAGCATTAGCATCCCCAGAGTATAAGAATCTAGAAGCCAACTTGTCTATCTGCTTACAACAACTCTTAGGTATAATGGCTCCACGAATCCAATATGCAATGGTGTTCCATATAGTGTAACGAAGGAATTGAAGCCTACCTGCAAAAGAAAGGAGCTTGGCTTTCCAACCAGAAAGCTTATTAGAAATAACATCTATGAGAGGGGAGAAATCGATGATGGAAGGCTTTTTGATAGAAATGGGAATCCCAAGATAGGTGATTTTAGTATGAGTTTGAGGAATGTTGAGAGCAGTACAAATTTCATTGGAATGCGGAGTGTCAGGATGCATGATGAGAGTGCTTTTATGTGGATTGACTACCAACCCGGAATAGGTAGCAAAAATATTAAGCAAGTTGGTAAGAGTGTTGCAATTTTGAACAGTAGCCTTACCAAAAATCAAGACATCATCTGCATAAAGGAGATGAGAGATTTTAAAGTCCCCAATTTTAAAAGGCTAAAAAATAACCCCGTCTAAGGGAGAATCCAAAAGGTTGGAAAAAGCATCCATCACAAAGCAAAATAAATAAGGACTCAAATGGCAACCCTGCCTAAGACCAGAAGAGGAGGGAAAGAGTCCTTCCAAAGCTCCATCTAAGCAAATGGAGAAATTAACATCCATAATGCAAGACTTGATCCACCCAATAAAC